AAAGAAACTGTATGAGCTGAAGCCAACAATTGTTATAGCTTCTTGGGTTGTCAATCAAGATGCGATCAGGTAATTTTACGACGATGTCGTATTGGCCACAGTCGGTTTACACATGACTATCTGCTGAATACGGATGGGGATGGACCCCCCATGTGTGTCTCTTGCGATGAGGTTTTCACCATCAACCATATTCTGCTTGACTGTGTGGACTTGTCGTCTGCAAGGGACTCACATTATGATGCAACAAATCTGAAAAATCTGGTGCTATGACTTTTTTCTGTTTTTAAATGACAACGTAATGAATATATGTTTTTGAAATAAAACTCATTCTGACTCTGTACTTACAATGTTTATTAACGCAAACTTGTTCTCGTCACTATATGGCTGGAATAATGCTGATGTGACGTAAAGCCCAACTCAACTCAACTCATCACACTTCCATCATCGACCATAAGTATCTGGTATCACTCTTCCAAACCATCTTGTTCAACTTCACGTACAGCTGTCGGCGATGGTACAGGCCACAAAGCTCACGGTGAAAAAGTTTAGAATAGCGTGGCGAATGAAGTTACAGTATGCGTGCTAAGATCCATACAGCCACGTGTTTACATTGTGCTCAGACGAGAGTATTGACTTTGTTTGCACTGACAATACAACCTACATGAAATGATCTGTGGAAACAGATTGATGACAGTTGAGGAAATGTTCACGGTGTGTGGAGACTGACATCTTTGGGAGTGGTGACATTATCGGAAAAGAGAAGATAAACAATCTTGATGAAATGTCCACGGTGTGTGGAGATATCTTTGGGAGTGGTGACATTGCGAGAAAAGAGATCAACAATCTTGATGAAATGTCCACGGTGTATGAAGACTGATATATTTGAGGGTATTTCTGAGGGCGGTGAAGACATATTGGTAGGACACAGGTTCCGTAGCAGCTACTTCCGGTTTGTAACTCGACGATGACGTCACGATGCAAATCACCACTGAGGTGGTTCTCCCTCATAGTACTCTACCAACTTGTCATTGTCAGCATTCTAACATTGGCCGCCATGTCTTGGACTCGACACAAATCACAAAACCGACTGGTTCTCAGAACACCAGGACCTGTCCGTGACGATAGGTCATTACGACATTCCAGGTACCCTACAGATCTTGGTATCACAATATTGCTGGAAAATAAAACCATTTGTCATGACGTGGAGACGGTCTCCGTGTTATTCATGGTCCATACGGCGCCGTCGCATACCGCGCACAGGCAAACCATCAGGTCAACGTATGCCAACAGCTCCCATTACAAGACGCATTCAGTGAGGGTGATATTTCTGCTGGGGATACAACGCCAACCTGTTGAACCCAACATACAAGCTGCAATAGATCTAGAACACAGGCTGTTCGGAGACATAGTTCAGGGAGACTTCATCGACGCTTACACCAATCTCACTTACAAAGGTGTTATGGGATTGAAGTGGATTACCGACAACTGTAAAAATGTGAAATACGTCATTAAGATTGACGATGACGTTTATGTAGATACGTTCAACCTTTTCGCGAAGTTTTACATACAGAGCGATAGGGATGTGATGATGTGTCATTGTTGGCCTGCCTGGTCTCTCTTGGTTGAACGGCGAAGCCGATGGAGACTGTCAGAGTTCCACATGAGACATTACGCATCATTTCCATGGAACTCATGCAGTGGATATGCTGTAGTCATATCCGGTTCTCTTGTTCCTAAGTTGTACAAGGCCGCGCTCATGGCACCATTCTTGTGGATTGATGATGTCTATCTGTTCGGGGTTCTCCCGGGCCGGGTGGGGAGCGTGAAACGAGTGCACCTCCTGAATAAGATTCTCAGTAACAGGACAAAGCGAGAGGTGCTACAGTGTTTCAATACATCGGAGTGTAAACTGGTTATAGCATCAGCACGAGTGCCCGATATTCATGAGCTATGGCGGGCCAGGTACAGCAGCCACCTGACGGGGCACCTGGTGCCGGTAAGATCTCGTGTGTTTAGGAACGGAAGCTATTACATTTGGGACTTCAAAACAAAACAAATGGAAATATTCATGAACGACCCCAGAGAATATAATATTCCAGAAATACGCACACTTTTAATGCAGTAAAATATTACTCCTGGCTTGGAACAATAAGAGGCAATGTCTACCGTCCTTTAAATATATATGTTAAAAAAGATGTTTTTATTCTTTGCATGATTTATAATGACATGCCTGTGAAGAGATTTCATTGTAAGAATAAAGCAATTCTTTTGAAAACGATGCAAATAGCGACAACGATCAAGGAAACTGTTCCTACGATGACAGTTCTGGAAACAGGAAACCGTTTATGAAATTTAGTACTGTCCTCTGGATATCTCTGAAATCTGGAAAATACCAAATATTAAACAGTTCTTAAAACACTCCTTCTTTAAGAAAACGCGTCACTCCGTCAGTCTTGGTGACTGATGAAGTCCGAAAAGAAATCGGAATACAGGGTATTGATCAGCATATTGCAATGTATGGTAGTTTTATTGCCGTTATTGCACCAGCCACGAGTTGGACATGAATCGTTCTCATGTAAGATTGAGATACGCATGCGCAGATGCGGTCTTATATATTAAGCTCATGCCAGCCCCCTCAAAACGAGATTGGCCTTCAGGTTGAGAACTCTATACTCGCAAACTTTAAATACTTTAGTGTGTGCACACAACACTTAAATGCATTGTGTGGTTACATTTTGATAAATTGTGTTTTCTGCCTCTGATTTTCTAGATTCTTTCCGACAGAGTGTTAATAATAGTGTCTCGGCTAACAATAGTGTCTCGGCTAACAATAGTGTCTAGGCAAGGCGAAACGATGGTAAACAACAAGAACAGACAGACACGTTACTTACGAAATTATAAGTAATATCACCCTTTGTCACTTATTATTCTATAATAACACACATTATAACAGTGGATTGTATTGGGATGGGATCATGGGTTAACACTGGTGTCCAGCAACCCGTCCTGCAAGGTGACCTATGGATGGGATCACGGGCTAACACTGGTGTGCAGCCACTTGTCTTGCACAGTGACCTATGGATGGGATCACGGGCTAACACTGGTGTGCAGCCACCTGTCTTGCACAGTGACCTATGGATGGGATCACGGGCTAACACTGGTGTGCTGCCACTTGTCTTGCAAAGTGACCTATGGATGGGATCACAGGTTAACACTGGTGTCAAGCAACCCGTCCTGCAAGGCGACCTATGGATGGGATCACGGGCTAACACTGGCGTCCAGCAACCCGTCCTTCAAGGCGACCTATGGATGGGATCACGGGCTAACACTGGTGTCCAGCAACCCGTCCTGCAAGGCGACCTATGGGTGGGATCACAGGCTAACACTGGTGTCCAGCAACCCGTCCTGCAAGGCGACCTATGTGTGGGATCACGGGCTAACACTGGTGTCCAGCAACCCGTCCTGCAAGGCGATCTATGGATGGGATCACGGCTAACACTGGTGTCCAGCAACCCCTCCTGCAAGGCGATCTGTGGATGGGATCACGGGCTAACACTGGCGTCCAGCAACCCGTCCTGCAAGGCGATCTATGGATGGGACTTGGTGGTGGTTTGTTTCGGGGACTAGATCATTCTACACCAGGCAGGAACAGGGACGTCAATCGAACCACGACGACGTCTTGATGTTCCTTCAGATTTGCAGTCGTCTTGTACGGGTTAGTACACGGTGGTTACACACCGATAAGATGTCTGTAGTTTTAGAGAGTTTACGATTTCTGGTCAGTTTAATGAAATGGTCGTCAAGTATTTTGGTTTAATTTATGCGTGGCAGGCAATACATGGTGCGGATACACAATGGCAGAAAATGGCTTCTTCTCGCATACCACACAAAGGTGGTCAATATGACGTGTGGCAGCTGGCAAATATCACACCTAAGCATGACATTAATTGCACATTCTCAAGTTAATGTTAAATTGATGTGTATTGTCAGCTGCGAATCAGAAGGTCGGGACATGTAGACGGCTAGATTTGAATACACAATTCCATTGCCAATTGCCATTGGCTTTAGCTCAATCAACAAACAGCACAGCTCGAGTGGAGAAATCGAATCAAAGGCTTACCTATCAAACCTTCTGTGACTGAACAGTTCTGATATTCCCCTACAAGGCTAATGTTGTGAACACTATGTAGGACCGGATGTATCATTTGTAAGTCCTATTTTCCAAAGGTCACATCCCCCTGCTCATTTCACTCCATTGTCACAGTGAAACGATCACTCAGTTGACTCAAGTCTTTGTGGATATACCGCAGTGACAACATGGCCACAACAAACTACTTCACTAAAACGCAATTCCTTCCATATCAGGATTGGTGCCAACAATGGTTCACTGTATCTGGTATCTTGTGTTCTACACTCGGTGCCATCACTGTTTTATAGTGAGTCATAGATAAACGGTAGGGTCGGAACCATGCAATCGACTTCAGCAGTGATTTTTACTGGATGAGTGAGTGAGTGAGTGAGTGAGTGAGTGAGCTAGTGAGCGGGTGAGCGAGTGAGTGAGTGAGTGAGTATGGCTTAACGTCGCCTTTAGCAATATCACGGCGGGGGACACCAGAAATGGGCTTCACACATTGTCCCCATGTTGGGAATAGAACCCGGGTCTTTGGAGTGACAGGCCAACGCTTTAACCACTAGGCTACCCCACCGCCCCGAATGAAAGAGTTTAAGGTTAAAGTGAAGGTTGAACGTTTAATACTACTGGAGCTCATTAAAAACATTTTCTCGTGTCGGAAGTGACGTCATTTACTTCTCACTTTTCAGTAGCTTTACAAATAATTGCTCTTGCTAATCAGAGTAATTTGACTGGATGGCTATATTTTACCTCGTGCAAATAGAATAGAACTTATATGAAAGCTATGATAGCAGTCGAGGTGACAGGGGCTTCATAGGGATATACGGTGCCCTGACATTCCCGAGGCAAGAGAAACAAGGGTACTGACCAGTTGTGCCATGATTGGCATCATCAATGTCGCGATGGCGGTGTTGCTGGTCACCTCGGTGGCGAAGGCAACGATGTAGCAGAGGATGAGCAACATCAAGTAGGGGTCGAGGTGTGAAAACACAGCCAGCTTACCGCCCAGCCACTCGGACAGTCCGGAGTCCTGAAATTCAGCAATCAGAGATATATTTTTAAACTTTCCATAGTACATCAAATGATCTGGCAATTCAAAGAGGACATTTGATGTGGACAGAAAATTTCGCTGTTTGATTGTCAAGAAAGTACGTGATGTCAGGAAACCAGTGTTCATGTTTCTGAATGTTGCAGGATGGAGTTACATACTTGTTTATGTAATGTACTGAACACGGTAAAACGTTTCCCGCGGAGGGTAATTCTGGGGTGTAATTGTTCTTTGTGGAAACATGCAATGTCTTGATCGTCCACTTTGGTCATCGTGACAAGTGGTAATTGTCCCCCGTGGAAATTTTGCTCAGTTGTAATTGTTCCTGGCTGCATCGGTGGTAATTGTCCATCGGTGGTAATTGTCCAGGTTTGTAATAGTTCTTGGTCGTTGCAATTGCTGGTTGTAATTGTCCCCGGTACTAATTGTTCTAGATAGAGGCCGTTTATTACCATTTCCTTGGAGGTATTATTTATGCCATTGTTATTGTTCACAGCTTATGGTATAGAACGTATCCAGCGTCTAGCACGAGGTAGACATCTACCACTACTTGCCTACCTGTGAGGCTCTGGCCAAGGAGTATCCAGACCCTAGGATGAGGTGGAGATCTACCACAAGTTGCCTACCTGTGAGGTTCTGGCCAGGGAGTATCCAGCCTCTAGGATGAGGTGGAGATCTAAAAGTTGCCTACCGGCGAGGCTCTGGCCAGGGAGTATCCAGCCCCTAGGGTGAGGTAGTGATCTACAAGTTGCCTACCTGCGAGGCTCTGGCCAGGGAGTACCCAGCCCCTAGGATGAGGTAGTGATCTACAAGTTGCCTACCTGCGAGGGTCTGGCCAGGGAGTATCCAGCCCCTAGGATGAGGTAGTGATCTACAAGTTGCCTACCTGCGAGGCTCTGGCCAGGGAGTACCCAGCCCCTAGGATGAGGTAGTGATCTACAAGTTGCCTACCCGTGAGGCTCTGGCCAAGGAGTATCCAGCCCCTAGGATGAGGTAGTGATCTACAAGTTGCCTACCCAAGCGAGGCTCTGGCCAGGAGTACCCAGCCCCTAGGGATGAGGTAGTGATCTACAAGTTGCCTACCTGCGAGGGTCTGGCCAGGGAGTATCCAGCCCCTAGGATGAGGTAGTGATCTACAAGTTGCCTACCTGCGAGGCTCTGGCCAGGGAGTATCCAGCCCCTAGGATGAGGTAGTGATCTACAAGTTGCCTACCTGCGAGGCTCTGGCCAGGGAGTACCCAGCCCCTAGGATGAGGTAGTGATCTACAAGTTGCCTACCTGCGAGGCTCTGGCCAGGGAGTATCCAGCCCCTAGGATGAGGTAGTGATCTACAAGTTGCCTACCTGTGAGGCTCTGGCCAGGGAGTATCCAGCCCCTAGGATGAGGTGGAGATCTACCACAAGTTGCCTACCTGTGAGGTTCTGGCCAGGGAGTATCCACCGCTAGGATGAGGTGGATATCTACCACTACTTGCCTACCTGTGAGGCTCTGGCCAGGGAGTATCCAGCCCCTAGGATGAGGTAGAGATCTACCACAAGTTGCCTACCTGTGAGGCTCTGGCCAGGGAGTATCCAGCCCCTAGGATGAGGTAGAGATCTACCACAAGTTGCCTACCTGTGAGGCTCTGGCCAGGGAGTATCCAGCCCCTAGGATGAGGTAGAGTGACCACGGCATCTTCTCATGGACATCCTGCCAGCGGAGGATGGGTCGGATCTTAGGTTTAGTGATATCTGGCAATTAAAACATTGAATGTCAGCAACTACATCGACCCACACAACAACGTAGAACATCGCGTTTATGGACCTATCCCAATAAATACAAACGACATGCCACGACCTCCGTTTCCTGAATGCGGCTAAATCAGGATGCCATTCACTGTTCAAACTGTTCACCTGTCAGATCTGCCATTGAAGACGTAGCTCGCTCTTTATATCTGATCAGCTGTTGATAATATGTTATAAAACACACCTATCTCTCACTAGCCCCAAATACTATTTTTCACTGAAAGTGAATTTAAATTCAGAATTCCAGACTGAAGAAACAAAAACGAAAACATCTTCTCAATGAGTCTGAGCTTGCTTCCCAAAATAGTTAAAATTCGATTTTCTAAATGTTAAACAAAGCGGTTAGAAATTATTTTTTGCATTTCTTTACAGATAAAATAGTATATGTTATAAAACCTTGTCATTTTGTCAAGACAATTTGTCAATAATGGCGGCAGCGTACCTTTTCCTCCCACCAGAATAGTGGCAGGTCATTAACTGACGAGATATATATATATATACACCCACTGTTGGAGGTTCAAGACAATGGTGTGTCAAAAGATGTGAGCGAGACATTCTGATAACCCAACACATCGGTGAAGTCTCTCACCTTCAGGCTTTCTTAAGCAGAAAACATTGGGGACGTTGGCGGGACACACAAAGAGCAGAAAGCCGATGAATATGGCAGGTGTTGAGTCCGACACGAAGCTGAAAACGTGAGATGATTGTGACAAGTAGTATTTCGTTAACCACAAATGTTGAACGAAGTCATCATGCGGATACTGCAGAGCAATGGCGTACAACGCTGCTAATCACGATCACTTGGAGGCTGCCCGCGAGGTCCGCTAATATAATTAATATCATAACTATTATAACTAACTAATAATAAAATATTACAAAGAGTTTAAGTTCCAGAGTTTGTATAGGGTGAGCTTAAATAATCCCAAACTAGCTTCATGAACGGGTATCACTACATTGAGTTGTAAAACTATGCTTTGCAGACCATTGTGACGTCATAATGCTTGAGTAATGACTGTGTTTTTCCGTTCGTTAAATATTCAGGACTGAAGTTGTATATTTGTTGACGTTCATCAGCTGATGAAGACAGTGCCTCATTCGAGCCAATTCCACGCTGCACTAGATATTGACAGATCTGTAACTCTGTCAATGTAACCACGTGACATACTGATGTTCCACGGGACTAAACGACAGCTGGTCCGGTAGTGTTCCCAGCCACTATCAATACTGAGGTATTCATACATCAAGCACCTTGCAATAAATCCGACGTCGACACCATGTGGCGACTAATCAGCCATATGCATGGAAGAAAACAACAATGACAAGATTGATAAACACTCCAGGCCAAGGAATATACATCGTGTCATGACGTGAATCAGGCGACTTAAATTACATATTTTCATATATTTTGATAATTTACACAAAAAAGTATCGGTGTGGAAGTAGCTCAGTCGGTTAGCTGTCGGGCTGACATTCCTAAGGTCGAGGGTTCGACGAATTCTCACAAAACTGATTGCCAAAACTGATTGTCCTTTCGAGTGAGTAAATGAGTTCAGTTTTACGCCGCACTCACAGCAATGAGTCTGGACCAGACAATCTGGTGATCAACAACATGCGTATCGATCTACGCAAATGGGATACGATGACATATTTCAACCAAGTCAGTGAGCCTCACCACCCGATCCCGTCAGTCACCTCTTACGACAAGCATGGGTTGCTGAAGATCAGTTTTAATCCGGATCTTCATATGTCTCCTCACGAGAAGTCGTAGTGCAAAATTCTAAAGGTGCTCCTCACATTGCTTGGCACGTCCACAAATTAATTAGCCAATCAACGGAGAGTAGAATCAAATGAAATTACATAGGACGTGTCAAATCAAAGTAAGTTGCGAGACGAACAACGGTCAGTCCGTAATAAACAGAATGGTCAGCAACCGCCAGATTCAAACACTGGTTCCATGAGTGAGTGAGTGAGTTTGCTTTTACGCCGCTTTTAGCAATATTCCAGCAACATCACGGCGGGGGACACCATAAATTGGCTTCACACAATGTACCCATGTGGGGAATCGAACCCGGGTCTTCGGCGTGACGAACCAACGCTTTAACCACTAGGCTACCCCACCGCCCCTGGCTCCATGAGAACGGATAGACAAAGTTAGAAACGAAACCCAAAGTTCTCGTAACCCAGGCGAACGAGGAATCGACTGTAACTGACATTCCCTGGCATTCCGTAGTGATAAAATCAGTGCGCATTGGTGGGCGGGGCTTAATTTTTTACTTTCATTGGGAATACGACAACACATGACCAGTTCAGCCAATGAGAATGCAGGAATTACAAAGAACACGTCGGCATCACCATCACCATCATCATCATCACTAAATGTACCATCACTTACTTTGGTCTGAAAATCTCTCCCCATCCGGGAACCTCCCCGAAGTCTCGCGTGATCCATAACACCACGAGAATTCCGAAGAAGATTATAATGCACCACTGAGCGAATCTAAAAGCAAAGCAAAAAATGTATACGGTGAATGAATGCTTCACCCACCAGATTGTTTACCTATATAACGGTAAATGTCATGTATGTATGTTTGTTGGTCCTGAACACTACGACAAGTAAATAAACTACTTGTCACAAGTGGTATCACCCCTGGAAATCCACATCAGGGCGTTAAAGCATAATCCCACCACATAAACAAGGCTGGGTTGTATTAAGACATGCTGGTGAAATACCGTCGTCTTATCAGTACTGGTAGGAACGTGTGCTACTTCGTCACATTGGACAAAACATACGAGACGGGTCCCAGTTTCCGGAACTCTTCACGTATGACAGCTTTAACTCTCTGGCTGGCATCGTTGTTTGCGCCACCGGAGAAACAGCCACAGAAACCCCTGAAAACAAACATGAGTGAGTGAGTTGGTGGCGCTTTGTAAGACAGTTGCTAGTTGTGGCACCTCGTATGCTCCTCTGTTCACACAGCCATAAATGGGTATCCGGCAGGATGAGAAGCTCATGTTAGTGTAAACGTTTCGGCGTCTCATATGGCATCTTGGTTTAAGTACAGGGCATATGATGAGCGAATAAATCGTTTCGTAACTCCTCAACAATCCCGCCACATCACAACGGAGGAAATATTTACTTTTAGCTTCACCACCTTATTAGGTGTTCCCTGTGACCTAACTGATTAAATATCAGAACTGTAAGAAGATATGAGCCCATGTGTAAAAACACACAATAGCGTTGAGTAAATACACGTCCAAATCAAGTCGTTAAATGTTAACTGGAACAAGTTACCTGCATCTGAGGAAGAAGATCTGCATCCAGATCCACAGGATGACGAGGACGATGATGGAGAGGGGAACGCCGTACACCAACCACGTGCTGAACGTGATGGGGGACGTGGCGTTGTTGTCAGTGAAAATTCTGAAATTATATTAATTTTTTATTTTTATTGAGAGCGAGAAAGTGATATCCTGTTTAATTGTGAAACGACACAACTCACATTCGTAGGCGTTAAGTATGTTTTGGAAACTATCTGTACTGTGATCTCAGAGCGATGTTGGAGCCGAACCAAAAGCCAGCGGATCCTGGGCGCTAAGGGAGGCAACTATGTACAGTGTCAGAGACCAGTAGACTACTCGTTAAAATTACATGTTTGCATATACATGTCAGAATATGTGAGTGCGTGAGTGAGTATATTTTTAAGCCGCTTTTAGCAATATCCTAGCAATATAAGAGGGGAACACCAGAAGTCAGAACATGTTAACATGCATTATACTCTTAAAAAAGGTAGGGGAACTTCATTTTTAATTTACGATTGAAAGCATTGGTGGTGTATGGTGTATGACGTGAAATGTACATGTGGTCGATTTTCATTTTCAAACAAAAATGCAGCTTGAAACAAACACTAACAACTGTGTGATGCAAGATGATTGCCAAAATTAATGGTTTATAGTGATGTATCGACCTTGAAAACCGTCAAAATCAAGAATGACACTCTATACACGTGTGTGGGGCTACTGCGTTGTGCACGTGCATCCCATGCGTTGTGCTTAGGGGTGGTGATAAAGAAAAATTATGCGTTCATAAGATGTCTGACTTTGAAAAGTTTGTTAACCCATATACTTCCTATCCAAACTGAAAGTTCAGGTTCCCCTACTTGGTTTGAAGAGTATACATACAGAAGGTATTCGCCTGTAAACTAAATTTGACTTAGCCATCAGATATGTATAAGTATATAACATATTGATATCAATTAACATTGTATATCAACAGGACATTCTACATTGTTAAAGACAAACAGAACAGTGAAACTTACATGTCAGACTGTCCCTTCAGCACGAGATTTGGACCAGTTCCCGTGAGACTTCCTATTCCACCAATATTCGCAGCATAACAAATACTCAAAGACATCGCTTTGCACATGCGCAGGTGTTTGGCTTCTTCTTCGTGATCTGCCTTTGTCCGGGCCGATCTGGAACAAGGCAGGCATTCCGAGTAGTAGTGAGTATGGTTTTACGCTGCTTTTAGCAATATTCCAGCAATATCACGGATGGGACACCAGGAATAGGGTTCACACGTTGTACCGATGTATGAAATCGAACCGAGCCCTTTGGCGTGAGGGGGAAACGCTTCATCCCCCTTTCTCAAAAGCTGTATCCGCCCCAGTAATTCCACCTTTCTTTTTCTATTCTTTATTGAAAGAGCAACATCTCTTTGTTTTGCATACCCCACCCCAACCCAGAACCAAACCCCACCCCAACCCAGAACCAAACGTTTGGTTATTTCATGCTTTAATCAACTTCATTAAGCAGCGGATCCTGTCATTTATCAGAGTAACCGAGCATCGTGTCTGGCAGCCATATGCAGAGTCTGACAACCTTATGGATGGTAAATATATTCCCGTGGTGCATTACAGGGTCTGACAACCTTATGGATGGTAAATACATTCCCGTGGTGCATTAAAGGGTCTGACAACCTTATGGATGGTAAATACATTCCCGTGGTGCATTACAGGTCCTGACAACCTTATGGATGGTAAATACATTCCCGTGGTTCATTACAGGGTCTGACAACCTTATGGATGGTAAATACATTCCCGTGGTTCATTACAGGGTCTGACAACCTTATGGGTAGTAAATACATGCCCGTGGTGCATTACAGGGTCTGACAACCTTATGGATGGTAAATATATTCCCGTGGTGCATTACAGGGTCTGACAACCTTATGGATGGTAAATACATTCCCGTGGTGCATTACAGGGTCTGACAACCTTATGGATGGTAAATATATTCCCATGGTGCAATACAGGGTCTGACAACCTTATGGATGTGAAATATATTCCCGTGGTTCATTATAGGGTCTGACAACCTTATGGATGGTAAATACATTCCCGTGGTACATTACAGGGTCTGACAACCTTATGGATGGTAAATACATTCCCGTGGTGCATTACAGGGTCTGACAACCTTATGGATGTGAAATACATTCCCGTGGTTCATTACAGGGTCTGACAACCTTATGGATGGTAAATACATTCCCGTGGTGCATTACTGGGCCTGACAACCTTATGCATGGTAAATACATTCCCGTGGTGCATTACAGGGTCTGACAACCATATGCATGGTAAATACATTCCCGTGGTGCATTACAGGGCCTGGCAACCTTATGGATGGTAAATACATGCCTGTGGCGCATTACAGGCCTAGGGCTTGACAACATTATGGATGGTTAATGCATTCTCGTGGTTCATTACAGGGTCTGACAACCTTATGGATGGTAAATACATTGCCTCGGTGCATTACATGGCCTGACAACCTTATGGATGGTAAATACATGCCCGTGGTGCATTACAGGGTCTGACAAACTTATGCATGGTAAATACATTCCCGTGGTGCATTACAGGGCCTGACAACCTTATGCATGGTAAATACATTTTTCGGGGTGCATTACAGGGTCTGACAACCTTATGGATGGTAAATACATTCCCGTGGTGCATTACAAGGCCTGACAACCTTATGGATGGTAAATACATGCCCGTGGTGCATTACAAGGCCTGACAACCATATGCATGGTGAATACATTCCCGTGGTTCATTACAGGGCCTGGCAACCTTATGGATGGTAAATACATTCCCGTGGCGCATTACAGGCCTAGTGCCTGACAACCTTATGCATGGTAAATACATTCCCGTGGTGCATTACAGGGTCCGACAACCTTATGGATGGTAAATACATTCCCGTGGTGCATTACAGGGCCTGACAACCTTATGGATGATAAATACATTCCCGTGGTGCATTACATGGCCTGACAACCTTATGGATGGTAAGTACATTCCCGTGGTGCATTACAGCGTCTGACAACCTTATGGATGATAAATACATTCCCGTGGTGCAGTACAGGGTCTGACAACCTTATGGATGGTAAATACATTCCCGTGGTTCATTACAGGGTCTGACAACCTTATGGATGGTAAATACATTCCCGTGGTATTTTACAGGGTCTGACAACCTTATGGATGGTAAATACATTCCCGTGGTGCATTAAAGCTACTTGTATTTATCGTTTATGATTTTATGAAAGTCATTTAATGGTCCTCATTCTGTTCCAAGTTGCCCTTAGCCTGTAGAACCTCCATCACCAATGACACAGTGCAGTATCCTTCAACACTGTATGTCTCAAAGATGCACAATGCCATGTAGAAAGTGGTCAGATGTAACACATACACAAAGTGTAATCCTAAATATAACAATTTCTATATACACTAAGTAAATATTATGGCGACTTTCTCATTTGGACATTCATTGCTTGTAAGGGGAAAGGACCCGTGAAGATCCGGGGTAGAACCCATGCTTGCCACAAAAGGCGACGCTTGTCGTAAGAGGCGACTAACGGGATCGGGTGGTCAGGCTCGCTGACTTGGTTGATACATATCATCGGTTACCAATTGCGCAGATCGATGCTCATGCTGTTGATCACTGGATTGTCTGGTCCAGACTCGATTATTTATAGACCGCCGCCATATAGCTGGAATATTGCTGAGTGCGGCGTAAAACTAAACTCACTCACTGTAAAGGGAATGTTTTTTGTTCACAGTTCAACAATGTGAATGTACAGTGTGAAGCAAAGCGAGAGGTGACAGCTGGTCAGCTAACGCTGCAGCAAACAATGGCGTCCTTACAAGGTCGTCTCGTGCGACAACAACTTATGAAGATTGCGATGATGCTATTTTGTTTGTTGTGTTCCGCTCGGTCGACAATATACCAAGTACAGAAGGACGGCTGCCTGTAAATTATCCAGTGATTGAGATCGTTACACAGAGCAGTACCTTGGAAGATTAAACATAGGAAGACAAACCAGTGTTGTTTAACGCCTTGACATTAAAAGCTGAGGTGAATCACTTTTATATCAGCATAAGCACAGGAAAACTGATCGGCCCTGTCACGATAGAACTGGTTGTGTGATTATACCATGCATTGCGAAGACTGTAAAGGTGTATAGGTGGTTCCACCCTACATACCTGCTGTGCTGTTCCGGTGTTGCTCCCACTGGCTGACCCTTTGTGACGTTACTGGCGACGTCTACTTTTGTTACGTCATCGACGGGCATCTTTGCGTCATCGCCAGTTGGCGTCATCTCCATTTGGAAGCAATCGTTTCCTGTTGAAGATGGGGAACGTTATTGCCCGGTTCTGACGCTTGCAATGATCTGACCACTCCATGCATGTATGACAAAACAATGATCTGACCACACCATGCATGTATGACAACACATTGATCTGACCACACCATGCAAGTATGACAACACAATGATCTGACCACACCATGCAAGTATGACAACAGAATGATCTGACCACACCATGCATGTATGACAACGCAATGATCTGACCACACCATGCATGTATGACAACACAATGATCTGACCACACCATGCATGTATGACAACAGAATGATCTGACCACATCATGCATGTACGACAACAGAATGATCTGACCACACCATGCATGTATGACAACACAATGATCTGACCACACCATGCAAGTATGACAACAGAATGATCTGACCACACCATGCATGTATGACAACACAATGATCTGACCACACCATGCATGTATGACAACACAATGATCTGACCACACCATGCATGTATGACAACACAATGATCTGACCACACCATGCATGTATGACAACAGAGTGATCTGACCACACCATGCATGTATGACAACAGAGTGATCTGACCACACCATGCATGTATGACAACAGAGTGATCTGACCACACCATGCATGTATGACAACACAATGATCTGACCACACCATGCATGTATGACAACACAATGATCTGACCACACCATGCATGTATGACAACACAATGATCTGACCACACCATGCATGTATGACAACACAATGATCTGACCACACCATGCATGTATGACAACACAATGATCTGACCACACCATGCATGTATGACAACACAATGATCTGACCACAACATGCATGTATGACAACACAATGGTCTGACCACACCATGCATGTATGACAACACAATGATCTGACCACACCATGCATGTATGACAACACAATGATCTGACCACACCATGCATGTATGACAACAGAGTGATCTGACCACACCATGCATGTATGACAACAGAATGCGCATAAATGTATTTATTCGATGTCCCCAAATAAATGTAATATTTATCATTGAAATCGTTCATCGTAAGACGCATGCATGACAACGGATACGGAACATGTGACCAAACTCCCCTGCGGGTTTACAAACATGGTGATGAATGGTAGAAGGTTCGCCGCCACAGAAACTGTTCCTGATACCCGTGCCGACTGGGTTATGGTTGAACGGCAGCAGTACAGCCGCATACCCCGTTCAGAGTGGGTTCCTGGTATAGACAGTGGCGTCACTGGATACCCTAGATTGAGTGGGTTCTGGGGTATGAGCAGCGGCTATACCGGATACCTCTATTTGAGGGGGTTTCCGGGATATAAAGAATGAGGACAATTTCGAGGTTTTGACATAGATTCTAATGTCGTTATCAAGCAAGTGGTGACAGGATATATCGAAACCTCGCCTATACAGAATTCAGAAGTTGTGTATCCATACATTTGTCCTCATTCGTCATCCCAACTTCTAGAATGCCAATCAACGATGTTTCCGGGATATAGAGAGCAGCATCACTGGATCGGATACCCCATTCCGTGTGCGTTCCGGTGCCAGATCCCCAGCAACCAATGCTTGTCCTAAGAGTGAACACAATCAAAGAGTGCATTGCTCAGAGAAGCTGTCTCCACCCTTTGTTTTACACGTCCACAGCAAGTATTTATAACGCTACCCGTAAATGTGAATATATTGGCCGTACCCTCTCCCACATCCAGTTGCGACCGCTTCTGGTCGCCATGACCGGAAGTCCTCAGTTGCTGCAAGACTGCTTGCACTATGGGAATCATCATGGCGGTGGTAGCGGTGTTGGAGATCCACATGGACAGGAACCACGTGACCGCCATCAGACCTGCCATCAGCCTGAAGCATATACTCAGTCGATCAGTCTTTTGTACTTCCAACAATTTAAACAGTCAAATTTACATGCATCATTACGGACAGTAGAATGATCGTATTCTCCATTTTGACTGTTTTCTTTAAGACAACAAGTAACAATACAACTATAATTGATCAAAACATAATAACACATGAATATGTTGTGAATTCAATCATCTGGTAAATTATTCGAGGACGAAATATTCAACATAAGGTGAAGGTTGGACATTATGGCGGCGCACAATTTATGATAACCCCTATTTGTTTTTGGTTGCTTTTTTTAAATACATATACAAAAAATTAAAGGAAAGGCAATAACAGTTTAAAGATATCATTAATATATCTGAGTGTGAGATATCGCTGATCCCTAAAAACGTTAAATCTGTATACTGAATGTGAACATCAATAAATGCTCTGCATGTTGTAAACATGAAAGGGCACAGATAATAATTTGTCAAAAAACATTCCAACCATCTTGGTTCTGAGCCAACCAGCATCAAAACTCCGAGTGCTATCCGTTTGTGAAGATCCCATGTTTCTATGGCAACTGCCACAATGAGGCCTCCGAGAAATAACACTGAGGTGTCCTGGAAAATACAGAGTACAATACAATTCCTAATTCGTAACTAGAAATAAACGAGGAAACATTGATCTTCTGTATCTCTGATAAACTTAAACTTAGACCCACGCTAAAAAAACAGAAAGCATAACCACCTATTCCGTTGTCACGGGTGTATGTTGTGATGAAGCTACTTCAGACACACTCTTGCAATTGACACTCTTACAATGTCGTCCACTGGTCCGTGTACTCAGTCGTCTCTATATGTCAATAGCTGCTTGAAGCACTGCGGGGTAAGATATATGCTTACCCGCTGTATCTGTTTCAGTGCCACCCGTGAAGGTCCGGGTTAGAATATTGATCTTCAGTTACCCATGCTTGTCGTAAGAGGCGACTAGTTTACGGGATCGGGTGGTCAGGTTTGATGACTTGGTTGACGCATGTCATCGTATCCCAATTGCGCAGATCGATGCTCATGCTGTTGATCACCGGATTGTCTGGTCCGGACTCGATTATTTACAGATCGCCGCCATATAGCTGGAATATTGCTGAGTGTGGCGTAAAACTAAATTCACTCAGTTACTGCTTCAATGCCAAACACTGATGCTGTTATTCATCAAACTCTTTCCCTCAACAATCTATTAAGATAAAACTGAGGTATGTTACTGTCCGTGAGGTATGCTGCATGCACTCACGTTGAGGTGTATATGTTACTGTCAGTGTGGTATGTTACTGTCAGTGAGGTATGTTACTGTCAGTGAGGTATGTTACTGTCAGTGTGGTATGTTACTGTCAGTGTGGTATGTTACTATGTTACTGTAAGTGTGGTATGTTACTGTCAGTGTGGTATGTTACTGTCAGTGAGGTATGTTACTGTCAGTGAGGTAAGTTACTGGCAGTGAGGTATGCTACTGTCAGTGAGGTATGTTTCTGTGAGTGAGGTATGCTGCTGTCAGCGAGGTATGTTACTGTCAGTGTGGTATGTTACTGTCAGTGAGGTATTCTACTGTCAGTGAGGTATGTTTCTGTGAGTGAGGTATGCTGCTGTCAGTAAGGTATGCTACTGTCAGTGAGGTATGTTACTGTCAGTGAGGTATGCTACTGTCAGTGAGGTATGTTACTGTCAGTGTGGTATGTTACTGTCAGTGAGGTATGTGACTGTCAGTGAGGTATGTTACTGTCAGTGAGGTATGTTACTGTCAGTGAGGTATGTTACTGTCAGTGTGGTATGTTACTGTCAGTGAGGTATGTGACTGTCAGTGAGGTATGTTACTGTCAGTGAGGTATGTTACTGTCAGTGAGGTATGTTACTGTCAGTGTGGTATGTTACTGTCAGTGTGGTATGTTACTGTCAGTGTGGTATGTTACTGTCAATGAGGTATGCTACTGTCAGTGAGGTATGTTACTGTCAGTGAGGTATGTTACTGTCAGTGTGGTATGTTACTGTCAGTGAGGTAAGTTACTGGCAGTGAGGTATGCTACTGTCAGTGAGGTATGTTTCTGTGAGTGAGGTATTCTACTGTCAGTGAGGTATGTTTCTGTGAGTGAGGTATGCTGCTGTCAGTAAGGTATGCTACTGTCAGTGAGGTATGTTACTGTCAGTGAGGTATGCTACTGTCAGTGAGGTATGTTACTGTCAGTGTGGTATGTTACTGTCAGTGAGGTATGTGACTGTCAGTGAGGTATGTTACTGTCAGTGAGGTATGTTACTGTCAGTGAGGTATGTTACTGTCAGTGTGGTATGTTACTGTCAGTGAGGTATGTGACTGTCAGTGAGGTATGTTACTGTCAGTGAGGTATGTTACTGTCAGTGTGGTATGTTACTGTCAGTGTGGTATGTTACTGTCAGTGTGGTATGTTACTGTCAGTGAGGTATGTGACTGTCAGTGAGGTATGTTACTGTCAGTGAGGTATGTTACTGTCAGTGAGGTATGTTACTGTCAGTGTGGTATGTTACTGTCAGTGTGGTATGTTACTGTCAGTGTGGTATGTTACTGTCAATGAGGTATGCTACTGTCAGTGAGGTATGTGACTGTCAGTGAGGTATGTTTCTGTGAGTGAGGTATGCTGCATGCACTCACGTTGAGGTATGTTGCTGACACCGTCCTGGCTGAAAGTAGCCCCATCATTGGGAAGAGGAAGATGGGGATGAGGGATGTGGCTGCGATGGGTACTGCCTCCGTGATCCAGAACACGGCCATCACTAGTACCACGTAGGCACATTGCGTTTTCTGAAGAAGAAGAAGATTCAAGTTGACCATCATTGACTGCTACTTTCTTTGTTTGAATTAACATGCACGGTCTCCAGTACAAACTGTCCGGCTTGTACTGTCCACGCCCTAGTCCAGTATAGCTCTAGTATAACTATAGTCCGTTTGACTTCATTTTGGACCGATGAATATCTCACTAAAACAAAACCTAAAAATTGCAACAAAACAAAAAGTTGTTTCATTATTTTGTTGTCACTTTTCGCTGTTTCATACGAGGGAGAACCACTTGCTGGTAGAACAGCCAGGTGTGCGAGTTGTACAGTCTGTACGTGTGAAATTGAAATTGCACTGCACACCCTTGTTGATTACCTGGCTGTTCTACCAGTAAGTGGTTCTCCCTCGTATGAAACAGCGAAAAGTGACATCAAAATAATGATCGTTTGTTAAACAACTTTTCTTATTCGTGTGTCCAAAATTATGAGACAAATCATCAGAGTTGGTCTGTCGAATTCATGTGACTGTGCAAAATTTGGTTTTGTTGCAATTATTAGATTTTGTGTTAGTGAGCAATTCATCGGTCCAAAATGAAGACAAATGGACTATACGTGATTATGCGAGGACACAGACTCCTACAAGTAGCATTGCCATTAGAATGCCGACCCACGTCCTCTAAGTAATGTGACACTGGGGTGACAGGTGTCTCATGTCTGCATTTCTTGGAACTTTTACAAACTAAGTCAATAAAGTTGATGGTTTGACACTGTTAGAATCCGCCACCAAGCTGCTGAAGATACTTACCGGGTCGTCAGCAGCTAGGGGGAGCGGCAGCAGGATGATGGGAGTCAGCAGAACCACAAGCACGTTGCGGATCCCCCACAGTTGCCGCCATATTGACGGTCTCTCGTACTTCTGCTGATCAACACAAACCCTAGTGTTGGGCGGCTCAAACTCCGGCTCGAGGGGGTCGTGCTGGTCGGCTGGGGGGAGGGTGTAGGTCGTGCTGGAGCTGGGGTCCATATTCACACGCCGCTGATTGATGGAACACTGTACGGAGCTCCCCCGAGGACAAACGTTTGGGAAGATGGCGCCTCTCTTGTATCTGTGGAAATAGCGAGGTGGGGGTTTTAGTTGATCCAATGATTGACTGATTGACTGATGACCGGTGTTCGTGCTACTCCTAGCACCATACATGAATCCACTTGTGCCGCTTCGGACATTATCTCAATATCCAACTGTCGTCGGCGATACGGCAGAAATACGATTTACATTGGCTTTGCCATTAACACCCTCACTCATGCTCTCAAGCATTTATCCATGTTAACAAAACAGTGTTGTATTTGAACGCGAGATGTATCCACATAAGATCCCAGCAACAACGCGAGTAGTGAACGACTAGAACTACGACTACTACTGCTACAACTACCACAACTACGACTCCTGTTACCAATGCTGCATACAGAGCCGACGCGCGACGTCAGGATGATTTAAACAATACCTTGTCACGATTCGTTATGTCCCTGGCCTTATTCAAACATAACAGTAGACCAAACAACCGAGGGAAATGAGAGGCTAAGTTTCATTCACTGTAATAAATCATTTGAATGGAATTAGCACATGTGAAGTTACATTTCAAAGATTCAAAATGCTCTTGTTTGTCAACAGAAATATTGCCGGTGTCATTGTAGGACGGGGGACACGGATTGACTGAAAAACAAGTTGGAAATACTTTCTGCCTTTCAAAATATAATTTCTAAAATAAATGAAACAAGTTTCTGTCTGACGGACTGACAGTCATGTCTTTCCAATACACTTGAAAAAGGTTGTCCTTTGTATTCCCCTCATCTCCGTTGTCGGCCTAAACATACACGCAACATAACTGTAGGACGACTCTGTTGAACAATTTTCCAGCAGACCAAACCTGCAGCATAACATGTTGACTTGTAATCGAGCATGTTCGTTCTACTTATATTTCAAACAGTTTCAAACGAACCGTGCTCAATTTTCGTTTTGATAAACATTCAAGGCCCCAGGGAAGCTTAAACCTTTATGGTGGAAAAGAGAAGTATGCTTTCCGATACAACGCACCAGTGATAGACGTATTATATATTTTAAAACACAGTGCAATTCAGGAGGTCAAATGCAACATATGTTGCAATTCTGTCATTGGCTCAGCCATGCGCCGTATACAGCTTATGCTCATGTGTGCATCGACAAAAGCTCATCTTATAGCCTTCTGTCATCTTATTGTCGGACGAGTCTGACTAAATCATAAAAGTGTGGTAATGGATTACTATCAATTTGTCACGATACCAGGTAGTCGCAGGCAGTATCAACACATTCTGCATCGAGGTGATACCCGTAACACGTACAGGCAATGGCAAGTCGTACTGCATATCACGACGATGACTATCATGAGCATATATTTGTTTCAGCAGTAAGTACAGCTGTGCGATGCCGTTTGGAAACAAATCGAGTCTGAACCAGACAACCCAGTGATTATCACCATGCGATACAATGACAGAGCATGTGTATATAAATCACTAAGATATAGTGATGATATCAGGTGTTCACGTGAGGGTGAACGTATCCTGTCCCACCGGTGGCACCTGTCATAAACATTATGCTGCTAAGTTTAGTCAGTTGTTCGCCTGAAATAATTCGGGAACGTAACACAAAATACAAAATAGAAAACGTCATGTAAAAGTCAAGCCTTAAGTACTGTCGGAAATAGAAAGAAATGTTTTATCACATTTATATCGAAGAATGAGGACTATTTATATGGATATACAACTTCTTTATTCTGCATAGGCGACGTTTCAACGCTTGACAAGGACATTAGAATCTATGTCGAAACGTCGCCTATACAGAATAAAGAAGTTGTATATCCATATAAATAGTCCTCATTCTTCATCTACCCATCTTCTAGAATACCAATCAAAGAAAACAAACATTTATATCTACAATTTATGTAGTTAACTACAGTCTCAGTGGTAGGGAGATAGGAAACGTAGAAAAAGATCTTTACTGAAGAGAGATTAGTGCAGAAATGAGCAATGCGGGGTTGTTAAGTACTTGGAACGACTTATTTGGAACAGACCATGGCTTTATGCAAATTAGTGTGCGAGGATATTGTATTACAAAGGACACTTTTAAATGCTCACTTTGAAATTAGACTTAGTTTCATTATAAACGATACCTGACGTAACAACATGATATTTTTAACACTGAAACTATTAAGGATGTAGCTACCATGAAGTCTCACTATCACAAGTAGGAGTGGTCGTCTCAAAAGCAAAACCAGGAACAATGTCGCAGACGGTGGTTGGGGTCGGGAGCAGATATGAGCTATAGTCCGTTTGGGTTCAAATGAGAACGATGAATGATTAAATAAAAAGGGATAAGTGCCCAAAACATAAATAGGACACGTGGTCCTGAAACCTCTGTACCCAACAGGATCTGAAATCTGACGTTTATGATCGATCGCGGAAAATGTTGTTTAAGAAACCATCATGTATTATTGTGCTATTTTCACGCTTCACGCCGAGGGGTGACAAACGACTAGTGGAACAGTACCTCAAAGTCAAAGTCAAAATATGTTTATTTGTATGTAAGGCCACCGGCCCATATACAGCGGTTACAAAGAAGGTTCTCATTTAGGAGGATAACAATTGTTTTCTTAACATAATAGCATGATGGATATACAGTGATAATCTTTAAAATGGAGACATCGCATGAGGAAACAATTTTGTAAAATGCTGCATTATTACTTCTGATTGTAATACAGTTACGGAGATAATCATAAAACGGATTTTATCATAGGCTGGACATTCAACAAGAAAATGTAATTCGTCTTCAATGCCTTTTTTACAAAATGGACATGATCTATAATTTCTATCAATGGAAAGTCTTCTTCCTTCATTTACTTTTAAATCTAATAGCCCCAATCTAAACTTTACAAGTAGCAGTCTCAGATTCTTTGTAGTCACGAGGGATAAATATCTTTCTGGTTCTAAAAGGGACTGAAACTGTCTGTAACAATCAAAACGGGAGCTTTCTTCTAACCTCGAGTGCCATTCTTGTTGAAAAATACATATACAGCGATCTCTAAACTGGTTCAGGAAAGCATTGACATTACCTACGCCTTGGTTTAACCAGACGATACCAAAACCTTTAGAACAAAGGTTCTTTATATGGGACGCCCAAGTTTCTTTGCCGTTACTGTCTAAATGTAGAAGCATATTGTAGGAAATTTTCGGGAGACGGTGATCATGCATTTGTACTATCTTTAGCCAGTATTTTAAGCATCTAATTTGGGCATTAATGAAAACTGGAAATCTGCCACATTCTCCATATACCATGTCGTTAGGGGTAGATTGTGTAACGCCTAAAATTTCTTGCAGGCCAGTAAGTGTATCTTTTCAAGCGCTTGGAAAGGTTGGAAGCCCCATATTTCGGAACCGTACAAAAGAATAGGCTGAATTTGTACATCAAATAATTTGAAAAACACGTTGTGGGTAAGGAAACCAACGTTGTTATAAACGGACATGAGGTATAACAGTGCTTTCTTAGCTGTGAGAGCTAAATCTGCAGCACAATGTGTCCAGTCCATAGTAAAGAAAAGCTTTACACCGAGGTATTTATAATGATTTACGACATTAACGGGTTTAGAATTAAAACACCACTTTTCGTTCGAAGAGAGGGGACCACCTTTTCTAAATACAACAATATTAGTCTTTTCAAGATTTACTGATAGCGACCATTCTGAAGAATATCTTTCTAGTATGTTTAGTTGGTTTTGTAACGCAATAATTGAGGTAGATACTAGAATTACATCGTCTGCAAAAAGTAACATAAATATTTCAATAATGTCGGGAAATAACTGGACACCATGCTTACCTTGCAGCGAAATATCATTATGTAACTCGTTTATGAAGAAAGAGAACAGGATAGGGCTCATAATACATCCTTGTCTTAAACCGACTGGACAATCAAAAAAATCAGATAAACCACCTTGACTGCGTACACATGATTTAATATTTGAATACAATGACGAAAGCATGGTGTACATTTTGCCTCCCAGGCCAGCATTTCTAAGGCAAAACCATAGTTTGGAACGATCAACTGAGTGGAACGCCCTTTTATAATCAACAAATGCAACATACAATTTAGATTTGCGTCGAGATAAACATTTCTGAATAATTGCATATATGGTGAAAATATGGTCTGATGTGGAATAAGACTTCCTGAATCCTGCTTGACATTCGGGAATTTTATCGTGCATGTTTGCCCACAGTGTAAGTCTATTATTGAGAATAGATGTAGAACCTTTACCTAAAATACTCATTAATGATATACCTCTGTAGTTGTCTGGGTTGTTTACATCTCCCTTTTTATGAACTGGGACAATAATTGAGCGTGACCAGACTTCTGGAAAGTAGCCATCATTGAATATTTTGTTAAAACATTTACTAAGAAATGGCAGAATTTCAGAACTTGAACATTTCAACATTTCCACAAGAACCAGATCGAGACCAGGTGATTTACCACATTTAAGACTATTAATGGCATTCAAAATTTCACTGTCTGTAATATGGCAGTCTAGCACCTGTCTGTCTATGTCATCGAGTATAGGGGGTGAGTCATCTATAGAGTTATCTTCATTCTGGATAATCTGAAAGATATTGTTATTCTTAAAGACTGACTTAAAATGGACAAGCCATTCTGATTTTGATATCTGATTACTGGGGCCTGATATTTGTCTGAGTGAGCGGACTCGTTTCCAGAAAAGGGATGGGTTATGTAAAGAGTCCTTTAATTTTCTAAGGTTGTTTTTTGCATTGGTTTATTTTGAATTGTCTACAAAAAGCTTTATATTTATTTCGTTCCCTACAGTATAAGACTCGGTTGTTATCAGAGCAATTACGTCCAAATCTTCTAAGTGCTTTTCTAGCACGTTGTTTAGCTGCTCTACACTCTTTGATAAGTCTAACTTTAGGTTTCCTATCAAGGTTAGTCGTCTGGCTGAGCGACCGAATTGCCATCTATAGTCTGATCTATTGTTTTAAGCAGCTGTTCGTATTTTTCTGCTGTTCTGGATTACGCATTCCACAGATAGCCCAGTTAGGCTGATGTGGGTTAATTCGACATATGCTATGTGCAATTGTGTAAGTTTTAGGGATACAGAGTAACAGCCTAAAAATGTTCTTTTCGATTTGCGACAGTACTTAGACTGTTTAGTATAGCTTGGCAGAAATGCGTGCTAACGTCAACGCCAGTATGTCTGCTAGTAGTCAAACACAAGTCCGTGTTAACGTCAACACCAGTATGTCTGCTAGTGGTCCGTCTCTTGTCAGTAGTCAGGAAGAATTCCCTGTCTGAGCTTTACCTCGAAATACACTATGCAACAAAGAGGCCCAATATTCCTGAGGCCTTTTCCCCCTCAGCTTTCAAAAGAAAACTTACCTTTCTTTCTCAGCCTCAATTTCCAACTGACCAATCTGATTTTTTTTCTTCCATTCTCATTTTTTTTCTCTTTCGAATTCTAATTCCTTTAAAGTATAAAATCTGTTTTACTCAATCCAAGCCATAACTTCATCATCTAACAATTTGTACCTCAAGCAGGTACGTGATCGAAAGCTTCTTCACATCTGCCTTGCTCATACGTTATTTGTATCAAGTTGGTATTGTTTGGTCATTGTTTGGTCGGGGGTTGATTCTTCACATGCTGCACGTTTAAATAACACGTGACAAGACAACGCCGAGACAGGACAGACTGCAGTGACCTCTGCTCAGACCATCCAGGACTTCGGCGTATCCACCCCAAGTTCCTGGAACCGCGACATTACGGGATACGATCCCGTGGTACCAACATACCATCTATCTTAACGCAATTTCATCGATAAAGGTGGTGCCAAAATCACCTCCGTTCACCTCGGTTTTAGTGGAGGGCTGTTGCCGTAATAGACGAGTCCAGGTTTAACGTTTCCTGTCGTGATGGGCGTCAACGTTTCTATTGACGTGTTTCGGTAGCGTTAATCTCAAGCCTGTGTCATGGACTGTGTCATGGGGTAGTTCAGTGATACTTTAGGGTAGGATAGGTGTACGTCAGAGAACCCCTTTAGTTGTTGTTCAGAACAGTTCTCCACGTAGGCTACTGACATCACATGCTCAGTAGTAATTCCGTTCAATTACTGCATTGGCGTGTATAGTCACCGGATGAAATGGAGCGACGTCTACGTGGGCCCAAATCCACCAGATAACGTTCGTAATTTGGCATTGTAGCTTCACCCCTGTCCCACATCTTGACTCGTAACGTCAATGTCATGGAAATTAAACATGCTGTTATGCCGTGTTCTTATAATAATCTCAAAATCCAACATATTTACATGGAAACGTTTGTCTATTGTTTCAAATGTAGAAAGAATTGTAACACTGCGCATTCTTTTTGTGGCTAGTATTTCGTATGCAATGACCATAAACCCTTTAAATACTATCATGTGACAAAATGAGTGTACATAAATTTAAACTACAGAAAACAAATAAAAGAACTGTAACGTAGTGGAATGGCTTGATTCGCCCAGTGGTGGTATAAGTCCCCTCCTGTTACTATCAATGTCTGTGGCGGGGAGAGAGAGATAAAAAGGCTAAAGGACTGTGAGTTTAAGCATAAGTTTATCTTGATATATAACTTATCAACAGCAGGCCAACAGCTGTGGCTGTTCCTATTATCACCTTGACACGCAGGTATCAGGCTGCATCTCAGTCTCCATTATAAATTGTTGTTTTCCAACACCATACCAGTAGCCTTGTGCTCCGGCAAGGTAATACATCGTCCCCCTCGCCGCTTTATTTGTGTCCTTTCAAACACTTTATTCAATAAAAAAGGTCTAAAAATTTGCGATAAAAGATGTTTAAACAAGCGTGGAAACAGGACCCCAAAGTCCATGCATCAACAGGTGATTTAATGTCAGAACCGTGACACATAAACTGACGTACTAAAGATAGTACATATAACCACCAGGCTGACCCACCTGAAGACTGAGCCACACGACTGATCTAGGAATCGGTTACCCACACGAGTACAGACCAAACACACGGATCAAACAGTGGGCATGAAAACATGTGAGTCTCAGCTAGTGAGTATGGTTACAACAGTGGGCTTGAGTGAGTGAGTGAGTGAGTTTGGTTTTACGCCACTTTTAGCAATATTCCAGCAAAATGTCTTCGGCATGACGAACGAACATTTTAACCACTAGGCTACCCCATCGCCCCTAATGGGATAGAAACAAGCCTGTATGTCAGTATGTCCCTGATAAAGAGAAGACGTAATAATTTTACGCAGTACATCCCTGATAAAGAGAAGATGTTATAATTGTCGGCAGTATATTTTTTTAAACAGAGAAGATGTAATAATTGTAGGCAGTATATCCCTGATAAAGAGAAGATGTAATAATTGTAGGCAGTATATCCCTGATAAAGAGAAGATGTAATAATTGTAGGCAGCACATCCCTGATAAAGAGAAGATGTAATAATTGTAGGCAGTACATCACTGATAAAGAGAAGATGTTATAATTGTCGGCAGTATATTTTTTTAAACAGAGAAGATGTAATAATTGTAGGCAGTACATCCCTGATAAAGAGAAGATATAATAATTGTAGGCAGTATATCCCTGATAAAGAGAAGATGTAATAATTGTAGGCAGTATATCCCTGATAAAGAGAAGATGTAATAATTGTAGGCAGCACATCCCTGATAAAGAGAAGATGTAATAATTGTAGGCAGTACATCACTGATAAAGAGAAGATGTAATAATTGTAGGCAGTATATCCCTGATAAAGAGAAGATGTAATAATTGTAGGCAGCACATCCCTGATAAAGAGAAGATGTAATAATTGTAGGCAGTACATCACTGATAAAGAGAAGATGTAATAATTGTAGGCAGTACATCACTGATAAAGAGAAGATGTAATAATTGTAGGTAGTAAATTTTTGTAAAGAGAAGATGTAATAAATGTAGGGAGTACATCCCTGATAAAGAGAAGCTGTAATAAATGTAGACAGTATATCCCTGATAAAGAGAAGATGTAATAATTGTAGGCAGCACATCCCTGATAAAGAGAAGATGTAATACTTGTAGGCAGCGCATCCCTGATAAAGAGAAGATGTAAAAATTGTACACAGTATTTCTTTATAAGAGAAGATGTAATAATTGTAGGCAGTATATTCCTGATAAAGAGAAGATGTAAAAATTGTACGCAGTATTTTTTTAATAAGAGAAGATGTAATAAATGTAGGCAGTACATCCCTGATAAAGAGAAGATGTAATAATTGTACGCAGTACATCCCTGATAAAGAGAAGATGTAATAAGTGTAGGCAGTATTTTTTTTATAAGAGAAGATGTAATAAGTGTAGGCAGTATTTTTTTTATAAGAGAAGATGTAATAATTGTAGGCAGTATGTTTTTTATAAGAGAAGATGTAATAATTGTAGGCAGTATTTTTTGTATAAGAGAAGATGTAATAATTGTAGGCAGTACATCCCTGATAAAGAGAAGATATAATAATGGTAGGCAGTATATCTGAGGTGTACTAGAGGTTTATTGGTATTAAACACATATCAGACCATCTCTCCCATACTCCTCGGACCTGTCTCTATTGTGTCTAAACGCCTGTTACTGTTAATGTTTCATGAGCTCGTGGTATGTATTTTATACCCATATATCTTATTACTTTACTGTATCCCATATATGACTAAACGAGTACGTTTTGTGTCCGTTAATACGACGTGTATATTGCAAAACTCGCTGTTAACATGCTGGACATAAATGATATACTGTCTTACCTCTAGTGCAGGATGAGATGAACACAGCTTCCCCGTGTGATATTCAGCTCTCAGTTTCCAGTGTGCTCCACACATGCGACACTAAAACATATATGTCACTTCAACACCTAAATATGTGTAAACATGTATACAGGCTTGCTGCATTATTCACTGGACAAAGTGTCTTGTGGTACAAAACAAACAAAGACTAAGTGATAATGTTTTGTGTACCGTGCCACCTGCCGGGACGGAACATCCCACTGTGTTGATGACAATGACGTGATTCCTAGCTCGCTTCCCGGTCCGCCCCGCAGGGGTATAGTGGAGGTTAAGGGAGACTTTTTTACCGTGACATGTTTTAGTTATTTACAGTAATTGTGGTGATGATGTAAAGCATGGATTTAGTGTTCAGATAGACCGGTCTTTTATTGTTTGGTTTGTTGTTTAACGCCGCACTCAGCAATGTTAGAGTGATCATTACAAAATCGATTGCAGACCATACAATCCAGTGACTGATATCCTGAACATCGATTTACGGAATTGCGATAGGATGACAAGTGGATGCAACACCCGGATGAAGCGGTCCTGCGCCGGAGTTGTGACCCTTGGTCTACCAGTTCTCGGTCGATCTCTTGTAGAGTTGTGGAGTCTGTAGCGCTGCCACAGACGGGAGATGGTACTCTGCCTCACGTTGAAGTGCCTGGCTACTGATGACTGACTTTCTCCAGCTTCCAGACGCCCAATGGCTCTGTTTCTACAGCCTTCATTCAGTCTTGGCATTTTGAGGGTTGCATATACGGAACAGCTTAGAGTGATTCGCAACGGGACTGTCAGATTTTTATACCCATCAGTATGAAGCTTTAGTACCCGTATTTGCACGTGCAACATGCTTACTGCTTTTTCTCCCAGTTTTAATTCAAACGAAAATAACGGGTATAAAACATAAGCTGGAAAATGTGTGTTCAGCACCTCTCGTTGTTTCAGTCAGCTGGACAGGCCAATATATACCATGTTGTTACACTCATAAAAAGTCAAATGAATGAATAATTGATTGACCAGACAATCTAATGATCAACAGCATGACCATCGATCTATGCAACTGGGATACGATGACATGTGTCAACCAAGTCATTGAGCCTGACCACCTGATCCCGTTAGTCGCCTCATACGACAATCATGGGTTACTGAAGATCAATTTTTGCCCGGATGTTGACGGGTCTAAAATGGACGAGAATGAACCATGTGGCTAGAATGAGTGAGTGAGTTAAAGTCACATCGGCAATATTTCAGCCATATCGTGACTAAAACTAGTTTTAAATTCATAATACATACATATAATATATAAAACCCTGTCAACGAAGGACAGTAAAACCATTAGATTATCACAGATTGAGTTAAAACTAGCTAGCATATATCTTTAAAAGTAGAAAATTATTTTTGGACAATACAATGTGAAAATGGGCTATAGATCGCCAACAACTGAAGATAGATCACCATACTAGGGACCATGGAGACTTACAGTGCCTTTGCTACCTCCATGGACCCTACCTCCATGGATTTACACCATCCCCTCAGCTACTGGCTACGTTTAAAAATTTGGTATGTTTAAATTTTACTTTGAAAGTTTTGGGTCTTACGTACCCTCTTAGGGGGACAATAATTTTACGATACTTTAACCCCCGTTGGGGGTACAGCCACTAACAATCTAAGTTACTAATAAAAACTACCAATCATTAAAACACACCTATCTACAGAACATATTACTCAAAATTAAACAATTAAATCAATTTCTTTTAAAAAAACAATAATTAAATGGAAATTAACGGTGTTAAAAAGATCCTTAACTGTTTTCACATTAAAATATCTATCCCTTATGATGGAGAATTGAACACAGTCAAGCAAGACATGCTTGACCCTGTGGCTATGTGGCAATCAGATAGTGGCATACTATTTACTGTTATAACCAAACCAGGTATGGACAGAGGCTAGAGTGTGTGTGTGGAGAGCAGGAGGTAGGTGGATCTACACCTCGGCACTGGTAGGAAACAAAACATCCGTTAAAGGGTGGTACTTGTTGTTACCCAGGCTGGCGTTCATCATCAGGGAATGAAGTAGCTAGCTCGGGGGGTGATTAAACAAGGATGAGCTAGCTCGGGGGTGATTAAACAAGGATGAGCTAGCTCGGAGTCAGGATACTGTGTCCGTGTGGGGTATTCATGTTAAACTGCCACATGGAATCTCAGTGGGGTAACACATTATTACTGACATTAATCCTGATAAGAACAAGCGCTCACTTACTCACTCACTCACGCTGACACACACGCGCAAAGCACGTCTTTATATTAGTGCAATAATTTTTATCCGACCTTAAAGCCCAGTTTTCTCCACCTTACCTTTCAAGTCGATATAACAATGGCTGCTTTCAACACGTGAAGGGTGTCTCCACAAGAGGAATCCGCCTAACCTCTCTAACATTAATTACGGTTGTATGTAGTAAGAACAAAACGTCTACAGTGATACATACCGTATCATGAGATACACAGTGACGGCTGGCTATATCAGGTGCTGATACGACTTAGTTGATGTCCTGGTGTTATCTGACCATCGACCCACTGGTCAGTTAACCGGACTTCCTAGACAAAACAGTTTCTGTAATCACGTACCGGATTTTGATTAAGAGGACATACATTATCTTTATATTTTCAAACCTCTTTGATGTCGGGATCAAAGATATGTCTTCAGGATTCAAAGTCGTCTCGCTTTTGAAAATGTCAATGCACAAAAGACGTTCAGTGAGACACTGTTGTTTTATGCCGCCGTAGTTAATTGTCCAGCTACACCAAGTAAGGGTTTAATCGACCGCTTGCAGATGGTGCAGCGACCCCAGCGTCAGGATACCACAACACCATCCCAGCCCGGTTACACGTTCCTATTGTGATCCTAAAGTGTCAATAGTTTTCTACCTTTAGTAGACCCTTGAAGATCCGGGTTAGAATTGATCTTCAGTAACCAATGCCTGCCGTAAGAGGCGACTAACGGGATCGGGTGGCCAGGCTCGCTGACTTGGTTGACACATGTCATCGTATCCCAACTGCTCCTTCGGTTGATCACTGGATTGTCTGGTCCAGACTTGATTATTTACAGACCGCCGCCATAAAGCTGGAACATTGCTTAGTGCGGCGTAGAACTAAACTCACTCACTCTACCATTTGTACTGTGGCGCCATAGGGTAGTCGGCTGCTAAATGGGTTTGTTTTCACGCTGAAAGTCCGGGTACGATTTCCTGTTAGTACAATGATTGCCATGGGTGCAATTTATGAGGCAAATTTCAGATTTCTCAAAAATTATATTGCAGGGATATTGCTAAAGGCGGCAAACAGACACACTCAGTAACTGATTCTGGCCCAAGATGCCCAAGCTCGACAACACATGCTGGGAGATGCAGAGATCAAGCAGAGGAGCATTCTGTGTGATACCTACATTGTCAACCCCAGCCGCTCGATGTAATGAACCTCCAGTATCCACTGCCTCCAACCAGGGATACTCTACAACATTATATAGTCTCCCTGCTCCAACACAATACACATTTAAACCAACAGTTTAACACATTTACTCATCAAGGGTATATAAATAAGCTTTAAGAAAGTACGTGTTGTGTTTCCTGATCACAAGGAAGTATTTAGTCATATAACAGTACATGTCTGCCTTGCTCGCCCCACTTGGTGTTATAAGCCTGATGAATGAAGGACACGCTGTCCACACATTATATAATCTACCCCCAGACGGAGTTATGTCACGTTATGCAGGAAATACATCACAGTTCTCGCGGGGGTCCATGTTCGACGTGATCTCATTGCAACGTTTTCTATAAATAGCGACAACCTGCTCCGGTTCTCCACATGATCAGACCTTTGTAGTGTTTGTGGTCTCCATGTGTTTGTTTCATCCTGGCAAAACTGAAGACCTGGGACCGTTTTACAAATCTGTCTTAGCTGCAAGGTGGTCGAAATCCCCATGCTTTAACATTGCATTGCACTAAGATAGCTTTGAGCAACAGGACCCAGGAGTGAGTGAGTGAGTGAGTTTAGGTTAACGCCGCTTTTAGCAATATTCCAGCAATATCACGGCGGGGGACACAGACTTCACACATTGTACCTATGTGGGGAATCGAACCCGAGCCTTCGGCGTGACGACCAAACATTTTAACCACTAGGCTACCCCACCGCCTCGGGACCCAGGAGTCACAGATAAGGTGTGAATGTGTCGGGATTCAATCATGTGTTGGCTACTTAAACCACGTGACATACGACCAGGAACGTTACACAATTACGTCAACTATGAGCCAAAGCTTTCACCCCTCTCATGTGACTGGACTCGTCCAATGTCGCCACCCGCACATACATGGTGGTTACATGGTGGTTACACGCTGGACGTGACGTGAATGTTGTATTATGAAAGAGTTAAGAAAAAAAGGAGTTGTACATAATGTGTTTCACCTGTGTAGCTACATAGTTCACTATTCTATTGGTCAAGACCCACATACCACAGGTGTTCTGATCCTAAACCAGGTACACAAGTTGTTTAAAACCTTCTGGAGCCGAGGTCATCAAGTGTTTGGGTTAGTCGACAAGACAACAAGGAAGCCCTGTCGTCCGTGCACCTGTCGAGGTCACCTGGTCGAGGTGAGGCGACTTCTCGGTCAGCGGGAAATACTCGTGGTCGGTTAAACCACGAACACGGTACGCTTTGAGCTGGCGACGTGCGACATTCTGCTCAATGTATTCGTTTCATGGTTTATATACGATGACGGACAGCGTGGAAGGAAATTCAAAGCTTCGATTGATGTTTGTTTAGTTTGTTTGTTGTTTGTTAATTACCCCCCGCTGAGCTATATATGACCGGGGTTTGTAAATAATCCAGACAATCCAGTGATTAACATCATGAGCATTAGTGAATGCAGTCGACCACCTGCTTCAACCAAGTCAACACCACCAAATCCATTAAGTCACCTCTTACGACAAGCATAGTTTCACTAAACCATTTCTAATGGGATTTGTAGGGTTACTGATCAATATGCTGTTTAAAGCCAGCGGTTGAAGGCCCAAAGGCGTGCCCATACTAAGATACATATCGCCAAGCGACACAAGTTCGGTCAGCATGCAATTTCGATCGACCTTTTTGATAGAAAATTCTCGCGATATGTAACGAGAAATTACGGTACCTGTGGCTTTGATCTTCTGGCGACACCGCTTTCTGAAAATGGTTCGCGTCAAATTACGCAATAGCTCATATTTACCTAACAACTAGTTTTAAGCCATAGATAATCAGATTCTACATATCTTATCAGCTCAAGCACTACATGTGAATCAGAGTACATTCACCTGGCATGAGAGACGGCACAGCTGTTGTCTACATGTTTACTTGCCTGTGTAAACATCACGTGACCAGACACGTGATATCAAAAGTTCGAAGTATGAAACAAGTTAAACCATCTCATGGGCGGATCAAGGAGTTTTGAAAGGAGGGGGTTCAGGGGGTTCGAACCCTCTGAACCCCCCATTGACTCTGCCAACGCAAAAAAAAAAATCTTCGACCCCCCTGACCCCCCTGGATCCGCCACTGCATCTGTTACAGAAAATCTAATATTTTTTGAGAATTTCGTCAATGTGGATAAGATGTTATGAAAGATAAAGCTTTACTTTCACAGGTTTTGACAAATGTTGAAACCAAGGCAGTATTTTGTCTGCTGCCCTACACAAGGCACATAAAGCTGCTGTGGATGGCCGGTAGAGCCACATTTCCGAAACAGATATATAGCCTAAATTGATGTGGCTCTCCCGGCTATGCTGTGAAAACATGCGATTCAAACGCGTTACCGTATTTGACAAAACAAGACATGTTTCCTCATAATTGTATTCAGATTACAACAGGTTTTGTTTCTATAATTAGCACAATATAATATAGTAATAGGTATATTACATATCATAATAATATCACGTAATAATAATAAATCTTAATCTGTAAAACATAATAATAATGATAATGGTTTAGTTTGTTGCCATGTGTACAAACAGATAAAATGGCGTAAGATCACAAAACATAATTTACAAACATTCTTTTCTACACCCCCTACTGCAGATGAAGGACGTCGCCCACATGGCCTGTATAATCCATGTCACTCAGGTGTTGGCTCAGAAGCTCGGTCTTCAGTGATGCAATACGAGCGTCAATGGTTTTATATTTCCACTGGTCAGATAGTCTCAGGACAGCAACCTCTGTGAGAGGCTGCTCACGCTGAAATAGCTTTACTATCTCGTAAATGTTAGGGTGGCACTTCTGGACAAGTCTCTTTACCTTATTGTGCCATCCTTCTAGGTTATTGTTAGATTAATCAGTTACATTAATCTTAATCTAGGGACAGTCCTTTCCGGTATTGCGATGTCATTGAACGTGTTCATTTTAAATTCCTTAAATTAGCTACCGGTCTTAGATATAACACCCCGAACTTTATGGTATATGGAGAACTTGGAAGACAACCTATTCAGCTCCAAATCTCTAAACGATTAATTACTTATTGGTGCAAATTGAAATTTTCTCATCCAAACAACAAAATAGCCGCTTTCATTCTAGATTATATTACGGATGATGCTTCCGTGGCTAAATCGTGTGAAACATATATTTTGTAAATGCGGCTGTATTAGTAAACCCCTTTCCTTTCATTATACTCAATCCTGGATCATATCAAAATCTGAATCAATCCTGGAAGACCAGTTTTTACAATCGTGGACCAGTGACATGACTAATTCAGCTAAAGGACAATATTATAAGATTTTAAAAAATTCACCTTCACTCGACAAATACTTACTGCTATCTGAAAATATTTGGAAACCTATTCTATACTGTAAAACATCTAACCATAAATTGCAAATAGAAACTGGGTGATGGACGAATTTTGCATGAAAAGAAAGAGTATGTTACCTTAATAACTCGCTGTTAACTTGGGATGAATTCCATTATATCTTTAGATGTTCATATTTTAGCCACATCTCTCACTTAGAAGATAGCTCTTGTTCCTTCTCTAATCTCTCTACATATAAAAAAATTTATGTCAAGAACTAAAATTTCAACAATCAAACACCTATCTAAATTTATCAAATGTATATGTTCTAGTTTTCAGTAATCATTGCGTATATTCCCTGTCACCTTCTTGCATACTTTGTATATTCTGTATTTCATTTTATGTACTCATGTACCACCGGAGGTGGTTCCATTTTGAGTAATAAACTCTGAGTGAAGAAGCTAAACAACACGCTTGTGAGTAGGAAAGATTATTAGTTTCTTGTGAAAAAAATATATTATACAATGTGATTTAGAATCATAAATAGGGATAGTTTTCTACCGGTATTGCTAAACAGCACGCTTGTGAGTAAGAAAGATTATTCGTTTCTTGTAAAAACAATATTATACTTGGGGACATTCTTTTACCGGTTACGGTAATCCATCAATTAATTAATGTGGCTTTACCGGCTACAGCCATGTAATTAAAAACCGCTCTACTGGAACAGGCTGTCTATTGGACGGGTAGTCAAACTGGGAGTAGTCTGAATGGGAATGAACCTTGAAATGTGGCCTTCCCGACAGTAGTCATTTTTGAATGTGGCTTTCCCGACCTGTCACCGGATGGGGTGGCGATATGGAAGCTGCTTCCAACCGGATGGGGTGGCGATATGGAAGCTGCTTCCACCGGATGGGGTGGCGATGTGGAAGCTGCTTCCACCGGATTGGGTGGCGATGTGGAAGCTGCTTCCACCGGATGGGGTGGCGATGTGGAAGCTGCTTCCACCGGATGGGGTGGCGATGTGGAAGCTGCTTCCACCGGATGGGGTGGCGATGTGGAGGCAGCTTCCACCGGATGGGGTGGCGATGTGGAGGCTGCTTCCACCGGATGGGGTGGCGATGTGGAAGCAGCTTCCACCGGATGGGGTGGCGATGTGGAAGCTGCTTCCACCGGATGGGGTGGCGATGTGGTAGCTGCTTCCACCGGATGGGGTGGCGATGTGGAAGCTGCTTCCAACGGATGGGGTGGCGATGTGGAAGCTGCTTCCACCGGATGGGGTGGCGACGTGGAAGCTGCTTCCATCTCTGCTGTTCTACTCTAGTGACCGCACAACCCCTAGTGTCATGGGAAGAAGAGAATGGACATGTGATATTTGGATACAATGGCAAATTTTGGAAACGGTTATACTTAGTCTGAGATTAGCATTTTCCATAGATCTAGCAATTCATCTTGCAGATATGTGAAAGGATAAAAACCTCCATGTGGGTCTGAAGGTACGGCGCCATTCTGTCAGCTATAAGATGCAGTGAGTGAGTGAGTGAGTGGCTCTGATCAGGCGAGTGAATGACCAAATGACTTGAACTGAAATCGTTTTAATAATTTGGCCATATGACTGAACATGACTGGTTTTACAGATTGACTGTAACATATGTACATGTGTTCACCGAGACAAGCAGCGAGGTTAAACTGAAGGCTATGCGAGACCGTCGAGAGTTAATCCGTCAAACTGGGCCTACCGCACAGCTGGCAATGACATCTACATGACGCTGTTGTGTAGAAACACGCCAGCGAGTAACGCAGCTCATCTGGTCACTCACATAGCCAGGACAATGAAAACCATTCAATTTACAGTCTACAGTTACATCCCTTTGGTGGTTTCAGGATTGGCTGATCACGAGTACGAATGTCTGATAGCAATCATTACCTTGTCAGTTTGTTCCTAGGTTCAGCCTGAGTAGCAAACGTCCAACACTTACATGATATTCCTGTGGGAACTCAGGGTTTATGCCCGGACTGTCGACAACCAGAAATAATCCGTCCCAATAACTTGTCGACAGTCCGGGAAAAGGGAGGTGATGTTCTACATGAGTGTGATATATCCTCTCCCCAAAAAGAAACGCATATGTGAATTTCAACTGTATTTTTATGTTTATTTTGAAACATCTTGTAGGCTTTATGAGTCAATGAAATATAGCGAAATTGCACACTGGGAATGCAGACTTATCCGTCTTTGGCACCAACTCGAGGAAAGTCAGTTTGAGTGTCACATGGAGGCGTGTGGTGCTGAAGTCAATACCTCGTGTGACCACCGTGGGTATACAGAGGTGAGGTGAAATTGAGTTTAACGTCGTGCCTGAGAATATTTCGCTCATATGACGACGTGCATGCGTGTGTTTGTGTATGTGCGGCTGCTTGTACTAGCTTAGACTTAAGTTGGTTTTATAGTGCTAGCCCACTGAGATACCACGCCGCAGTGAAGCATGAATACCCCACTCAGACACATTATACTGACTCCGAGTCGACCAGTCCTTGTTGTACCCATTAATGCCGAGCGCCAGGCAGGGACCAACAAGTACCATATTTTAACGTCTTTTGGTATGACGCGGTCGGGGATCGAGCCCGCGACCTTCCGCTCTCCGGGCGGACGCTCTAACCACTACACAACGGAGGCGGTTGTGGGCATCCAGAACTTCACGGCATCGCCTCGGCATCGAACGAATAAGTCTTAGAATCTCGTGTTGCCCAATCGCAGCCCACTCTGCCTGTAGTGCCTGTGCGAGTTGCTGAAGTGTCTGGGGCTGAGGGTTACGGCGTCGCACCCGTCTGTCCAGGGCATCCCACAGATGTTCGATCGGGTTTAAGTCCGGTGATCTTGAGGGCAAGGGGAGCACATTGATATTGTGGTTCTGGAGGAAGTCTCTAGTGTGACGCGCTGTGTGGGGCCTGGCGTTGTCCAGTTGAAACTCCCTCTGGCGATCAATGATTGGAAGGAGGTGTGAGCGTAGGATTTCGTCACAGTACCGTTGAGCTGTCAGGTTGCCCTGGGTCATCACCAAATCACTTCTCCTACGGCAGGTGATCTGTCCCCACATCATAACACTGCCCCGGCCGAATCTGTCCACCTGGGGAACGCAAGCATCGGCGAAACGTTCACGTCGACGTCTGTACACCCGCATTCTTCCATCGCGTCGTTCCAGTAGAAATCGTGATTCATCACTGAACCCGATTCTACGCCAATTCGGTAGGTTCCAGGCCTGAACGTTGGTGCACCATTGAACTCGATGTCGACGATGTTGTTGTCGAAGAACAGGGCCAAAATAAGGTCTACTGGCACGTAAACCAGCCTCTCTCAACCTGTTCCTAACGGTCTGTGCAGAAAGCCTCCTCAATCCGAGTATTTGTCGAGCGGTACTGGTCGCCGTAGCTGTTCGATGACGCAGGTAATGTTCCCGGATGTAGCGATCCTGCGCCGCAGTGGTCGCTCGAGGTCGCCCACTACGAGGGGCATCTGCTACCGCATTCTGCCGGCGATATCTCTCCCAGAGCCGTGAAATGGTGCTTTGGTGAACATTCATGCGTCGGGCAACTGCACGTTGAGACTGGCCAGCTTCAAGCAAACCAATGGCGATATGACGGTTGGCTTCACTTAGACGTGACATTTTGCGTTCGTCAACAATATTCCAAATACAGTGAATAATCGACAGACAGCGATCAACCTTTTATACCCATCATTGAGACTATCTGATCCCCAAATTTCACTTGCATTGCATGTGAATTGTGTAGTCTGTGACACTACACGCCGAAATTGAAAATCATGCTGTTAAATACGGGTATTTTACGGATGGTGCGTTTTGTTGTGATGTTTCAAAACATAAACACCATAGGACTCATAAACAGAGCAAAACCGTTTGTAAAATGAATCACGTTTTAATTCATTGCTACATGAAATTGCTATTTTCATGATGCGTTTCTTCTTTGGGAGAGTATATATAGTAGACAATTTATTTATTCAGTCAATATAACAACATGCATGATACATGCATGTATCATATGCCACACAATATAACATATTTGTATATATATTTCATAAAGCTCACACAATATATTTGTGTGTGTGTTCTATTTAAACAAGTGATTTCTGCAGGCGTATAAGTAATAAATATATAAAAGATGATTCCAGTTATTTCTTCTTGCCAAAACTCCTTTATATGTGCACTAAAGTAATCTGAATGTTCAGCCAAGATGAAGCAACTCTGACACATGGTCTGTGTAATTCAAGTAAGTATGTCTGTCGGCAAGAAGGTCGGCCTTCAAGGATCGAATCCTAGCGTCGATGATTCGGTAGCGATGTCTATGGACGGGATCTCTCTGCTGTCCTTGGATCTGCTGATTTTTTACTTCAGTAGATGACTGTTCTTTTTGTAGCATTCGCACAACCTCAAATACATTCGGATGTGTCTTTATGGCATACTTGTTGATTTTGTTGTGCCAACCTTCCAAATTATTGTCAGTTCTGTGTCCATTTTCAAAATCATTCCAAGTTGGCAGTGTCCAAGCATCAAGCCAGACATCTTCAACTTTATCCAGAGGCACTAAAGGGAGAGCTGCAGCACTAGTCTTTTCACATTTTTGTCTGACTTGTACAGAAGCAAGGTTTACTTTCTGTGTGCGACGCCAGATGCACTGGATGTAATGAAAGAAGCAGCCACGAAGCTGAGTATTTGGAAATACAATACTGGAGGTGTTGTGAGATGCACGTTCAAAGTCCAACTGAAACACATCAGGAGAAAGCTGAAGTCCCCGAGTCGCTGCAGTTTGTTTCAGATAACTTGTTTGAGTGGCTTTTTAGAAGTTGAGACGTACAATATGGAACAAGTTTTTATGGATAACAACTTCTTTATTTGGTGAGTGCGACGTTTCGATACAGATTCTTGTACCGTTGTCAAGCAAGAGTGAACGGTACAAGAATCTGTATCGAAACGTCGCACTCACCAAATAAAGAAGTTGTTATCCATAAAAACTTGTTCCATACTGTTTCAGATAGTCATATACGCTTGTGTAGGTCGCTCCTGGTCTGTTTGGCAAGAGTCCCTATATCAGGGGTAGCATGTGTCCTTGGTATTCAGCATGGATCGAGTAGGTCTGGTCAAGGTGTCGAGGTGAAGACGAGAATATACCATCTGAAAAGATCACATCTGCTGCAGAGAGAAAACTCCATATTCTTGCTGGTGAAGATGAGCAAAATGTGGCAACAAGCTAGATGGTGAAGAAAGTCATCTCCTGCTTCAGTCGTTGTCCACTCACTCTCTAGATTGATGTCTGCAAGGGTCTGTGGAAGCTTAGGGACGGTCTTATGTCTTTGTCGATACATGCTGGTTCTCATGGAGTCAAAGACAGGAATGTGTTGGAGAAGGGCGTCCGGAGCAGCTGCTGGATTCTTTCTCAAGTTGCTGATTTCTTCATGGTAGATCTGGGGGACAGGCGTAGTGTTGTCAGTCTTTGCACGATGATGGAGCTTTGACTTGAACGCATCGACTTCAGTAAGAAACGGAATAGCAGGATGGTTGTGACCTTGACCGACCATATTCAGCAGGTTGTTTTCTGTAACCAGATATCTGTTGACTCTGTACTTGAATCCATTGTGGTAAAGATTCTGACCTCTATGAATGTTGTCAATCAATGTAACCCGCACCATAGCATTTGCCATTTTGACAGTGGTAACAAAGTATTCATGATCTATTATATATACCCAAATGCTAAATGTTTACACCAGCATTTCGATAACCCTTCTACTCCCAATATAGCAAAATAATTTGTAAGCTCTCTGTTTCTTTCCGGATGTTGTTGCATGTTAAACTCCAAAATGGTAATCCTTCCACTCGCATAATGTAAAATAATAGTCTGTTTTTGCAACCTTAATTCTCTTGCAAATTGTTAAAAAGACTTTCTCTTTAATCAACTTAATTCATTTACTCATGATACGAGCATAGCTGTAGCCACCATAACCCTTGCAAACCACTAAGCAAACATTCTCTTTCATTAATTAACACCGTCACGGTATGTTGACCACGCGATGTCGACACTCCGGGTTTTTTGTTTTGTCGACGGTTAGGAACATCCTATGTTTCATTTGTCAACAGATCGGGCTGACACCAACTCAGTCCGACAGTTATATAACCGATGGGGCGCGAGGGGGGTTAACGCCGCCAGGTAGACACTCTATCCTCTCGGCAAACAAAGGGGATACCGGGGATAAACTCTAATCTCCCGCGTCCGAACATGTATATACTCATGGGCAAAAGTAACGGTACATGTGGCCGT